GAAGGAGTGACTGGGCAGGGCATGTGGGCAAGAGGGGCAGGGCAGGCAGGGAGGAGCAGGGCCAGTCAGTGGAGCTATTTGCCGGTTCTCCAAACTGCTCCGAACCAGTAGAATCCCACCTCTGAGCCTGCCCCTTTATTTGCCTCCTTTCTCTATTTTCACTCCACACAATCCAAAATCTCGACAGTGCTCCAGAAGAGTTAAGAATAACATCCTTCTTTTCTTCAAAATGTGCTTCAAACTTCAATACTAAAGAACAAAATCCTGCCCATCTCTAAGAGTTTGAGCTCCAAATAACTAAACTAAACATTAGACAGGAGACAAGTATAAGTATTTGGTTTTTGACTCCTTTTTGTTTCACTTTTCATTCTTTCTTTTTAATAGAAAACACCCTTCATTGATTCAGGTTGCTCAGTGCATCCATCTCCATCACAGAACAATGCCAGGGAAGGACCAAGGGACACAAGAAACTTGATACAGCCCCCACCCCTTGTCTCTGCTAACCAAAGAGCAGAATCCTTAATGCCAGCCATGTCTTGTGGATACCCGAGACAGGAAAATCGTTCTCCTTTTTGCCTTTGGATTTTTGCCTTTGTCAGTAAAAATCCCCCCAAAAAACAAAACCCACAATAATTAAGTAATGAAGAATGTGCTGTCCTTTCACAACACTCCAATCTGCTCCCATGACAGCTGCCTCGCTCTCCCTCAGGACAGAGTTGGCCCTGGGCAATGCCTGGATGCTACAACTTAAAAGCTACCTTTAATAAGAAGAGTAGATGCCTGCTAAAAAATTTAAGGGTTTTATGCTTATTTTTCAATATATGTTCTACTCCCCCCTCCAGCCAGCTCCTTACCTTCTTTCCCTCTAAAATCCCTCATGCAGAACATATGGAGTACTATATAAATCCAAGATGTTGCTGGTTTTACTTAAAAGCCACTTTATTATTTTTCTGTTTGGCTTCTGCCTGTTTACAGTTCCCTAAAACATCTCTCACGCTGCAGCACATGTCACCTTGCTCAGAGCAATGTTGTGCCTCTTTTTATGTAATTCCCTTTTAAACTTCACTGTCTATGATGTGAGTGCCCCAAAAAAAGTAAGGTGCATTGAGAAATACATAAAACAGAAATCCAGTATGACATGGAATACCATTCAGTGGCTTACAGAGGAGGTAATGAATTGGCTTTAGAGACATGATGGTTGGGACCCTTCCGGTTTGCTAGCTTTCAGCGGCGGCAGGGATTTGCCACTGTGCAATCCCTGCTGCGTTCACTGCCAAGGTTCCCCCGATCCATTTGGATCTGGGGGATACAGCTGCCCTGTAGAGGCAGCGGAAGATAGGGGGGATCCGGCAAGGGGTTTGGGGGTACCGCAAACCCCCTCCCCAGCCGGCTAAACTCCCTTTTCCCGAGGCGGAGGAACGGCGGTCAGCAATGGCCGCCACGAAGAAAGCTGCAGCCGGGTAAGCAAGAGCAGGAGGGAGAGAGCTGAAAGAGAAGTGAAAGTTGCTTCTGGCTGGGACAAGACGGGAGAAAGTTATTTGGAACCTTGAAAGCTGTTAAGTATCTATTGTTCCTTGCGAGAGTTACAAGCTGCAAATACCCTAAAGGGAAAAGTTTTTTTTTCTTTGTTCGACTCTCCTTCCTAAAGTGACACCGGGAAAAAAAATCTTTTTGGCTGTTGAGTGGGAAGGGAGAGTGAAAAAAATCTGAGCAAAATTTGAAAATAAGGAGAAGATTGCCTAGAATTGCAAAGAGTTTAAAAACTTCCAAAAAATATATTTGAAAAGGATTTGTGATTACTTTAACCCCAGAAAGAGAAAGTCAAGAAGAAGAAGGTATCTAAAAGAAACAGTCTGTTTGGATTGTTTGGTGATTTTGGAACCTTTGGAAATTATTTCTGATTAAATCATCTGGGTGGTTGTTTGGAAAAACTTTTTCTCTACACAATGGCATCATCTATGGATGAATTGGAACTTATATATCAAAAATTTGAAAGAGAAAAACAAGGAGGTGAAGATGGACTTGGCACTATTTTCCAATACTTAGAAATGGCGATTTATATTTATGTGAAGCAGAATGAGGATGATGGGGATAAAGAAGAAGGAGAAGCCATCTTTGATGAGAAAAGGACTTTGATTGGAGAAGGGAAAAAGCGGAGGTCTTTAAGAACTGGAAAAACAGCCCAAAAAGAGAAGAATAAGGTGGAAAAGGGACATTATGTTAAGAAACAACAGAAAGGGGGAAAGCAGAATAAAAGGGAGGTGGGGAGACAAGGGGTTAAAGAGGACAAGGAGAAGAAGAAGCAAGGGAGAAAGGATGGTGGGGAGCAAGATATTAAGAAGCAAAAGTTTTTCAGAGATAATGGATAAGTCTTATTGTTAATGGGATTCTAGAAGGTACATAAGATTGCATTTTTATATCTGTATTTAGAAGTAATTATAGAAAATTAGAAATAATATGTAGTTTAAAAAGTGATAAAATATTTAACATAAACAAGTAAAATTTTTGTTAAGAAAAAGGGAGTATTGTAATGAAATATGATCCAAGATTATGATGGGGTGGGGGTAATAATCGTGGAAAGCATAAGTGTTCCCACAAAGGCATGACATTCAATTGAAATGGATAAAATGTTTAAGATATAAATGATTGTTAATATTAATAATTAGAAGATGGTATATTAGCAAACCTTTTGTGAAATGAGATTTGAAGTAGAAGAAGGAGGAACATTTCAATGAAATATTGAGCTATAATATGTGATGTGGGGGGGGGGGGAATAATTTTGAAAAATAGGGCTCTCATAAAAGCATGTGATTTAATTGAAAAGTAATGAGTTAAATATCTAAGATATGAATGAATATCAATATTAATGAATAGATTTGTATTATTTTTGATAATATAGTACAATTTTAGAATGTACCAGACAGAATACCAATGTAGGTTATGTATTTTATATTAAGTACTATAAATATAGAGGAAAAAGACAAAGGCATCATACTCCATATAGTGTATAGGAGAAGTACTTCTTTTTTTTTAAAGAAGAAAAATAAATGATTGGCTGGAATAGAACAGACAAAGAATAATAAATATTACGATATGAATTGAGAGGAGATAAAAAAATAAAAATGAAATAAAATTGAGAAAATTTAAAGGAGAGGAGAAGTTATATAGAAAATTGAAAATGTTAAGAAGATATGAAATGGTATGTAAAATGAATATGAAATTGAACTTGTGTCTGTACCAAGAGTTTTAACCCGGGACTAAGCAACTTTCAGAAAAGAGATTTTTTATACTTTTATGTTTTGTGTTTATGTGTATTTATGTATTGTTTGTCTTGAAAAATAAAACTTGTTTAAAAAAAAAAAAAGAGACATGATGGTTAAAGCCTTCAACTGATGATAGGTGGTACAGCCAATAGGCCCAGAAGCAACTGTATTTATTTATTAGGCCCTATCACCTGCCTTTCATTCAGGAGCTCAAGACAGAACAGAGTGTGCTCCCTCATCCTCTTTCAGGTCAACAGATTTGACTGGTTCAATGCTGATTTCTGAGTTAATTATAATACTGAACTTTTTTGTTCATATTTGAAGAATTCAAAATGGATGTGATGAGGATTGTTACTTTGACTGAAATGAAGCTTCAGAGACAGTATTGTTGATTCAAGGAACTTAATCTCAGCATAGCCAGATGCTTTTTTTTTCACAGAGTGAAAGATGCAAGGGAGGAAAAACATTTCATGAGGAGGACCCACAATGTTGGAAATGTTAAGAACTTGTCTGCTGCTCTCTGATTAAATCAACAGCCCCTTCACCAACAACTGCATCTTTCTGCTTTTCTTTGTCTCTGTCTCTCTGTCTGTCTCTCTCTGTCTCTCTCTGAAAAAAGTCTCATGTTTGGTTGTTAAAAGCGGCTTCATTGGGCATGAACTGTGTTGTGTCTGGAAGGATGGGTCCAAGAACGGAGACAGGCTCAGAAAGTAACTACAGCTCTTTATTAGTGACTTCAGATCTGAGCGAATTGCCCTAGCCGCAGCAGCCCCTTTTATAGAGCTGGCTGCGGCTATACGGCCAATGACAGAGGTTTAAGCTTGCTGCGCTTGTTTTAGTCCAATCGCGGCAGCCCGTTTACCAGCCAATCGGATCAGTCCGGAGCGACCAATCACGAACCGCTGTTAGCGGACCAATCCGCTTTGCAGGCTTCAAGCCTGCTAGTCCGGAACACCCCTCCCCTCTTGGTTCCGTTTAAGGGGTGGGGTTATATAGTCTCGCAGGTAGGCAGGCCTTCGCACCTGTCTACCTGACTTGCGTTGCTCGAAATGTCTTTGCTCGGTTTCTGGTTCCGACGGGTTGCTTGCCGGAAATCCCTGGAACGGTGAGCTGGTTCCATAGCTGTGACTCCCTTCAGGTGATCTCGGGATGAGTGGTACTCCTCCCTCGTTGCTAGTGCTTGGGCTCACAGGATTCACTGGGCTGGTTCGGTTGCTGCTACTGGGTGAGATGATCACGTGCCAAGGTTCTTCATCAGTTGGTGAGAATTGTGGGCTTTGATGAGGTGGTTGTGGGGTTCTTTCTTCTAAACCAGATGTTGGTTCAATTTCAGACCCCCTGATTCCCCTTCCCCCTCTGGTTTCGTGGCTAGGGTCACTGATGGGGGATGTGGTTAGCCTAGATCGCAGCTGGTCAATGTGGCATTTCCACAGTCTCCCATCTGTGGTTTCTAGCCGGTAGGAGCGGGGGCCTGTAACTTGAGTTATTTGGGCAGGGATCCACAGAGGGTCACCTGAAAAGTTATTTGCAAATACAGGGTCTCCTACCTTAAAGGCACGGTGTTTACTGCTGGAGCCCAAGGGTTTCTCCGGCGTGTAGGCAGGATGTAGGCGATCTAGCGGAGATCTGAGTTTTCTTGCCATTAGAAGTTCAGCTGGGCTTTTGTTGGTTGTAGTGTTTGGTGTAATATGCTGGAGAAGGAGCATCCTAGTGACTTTATCGTGGATGTTGCATTTTTTGTAATGTCTTTTTTGTGAACTGAACCATTCGTTCAGCTCTACCATTTGCCACTGGGTGCACTGGCGATGTCAGTGTGTGTCGTATGCCACGGTCTGCTAAGTATTGTTCAAAGGCTAAGGCGGTAAATTGAGGGCCATTGTCGGAGACCAGGACATCTGGTAGCCCATGCTTTGCAAAAAGTCTGTTTAATTTTTTGATGACTGCCTCAGTAGTGGTGGTCTTCATTTTATTTACCTCGAGCAAATTGGAGTATGCGTCTACTGTTATCAGGAAGGTGTGTCCTTTTGTAGGTCCAGCAAAATTGATATGGATGCGCGACCAGGGGCCTCTGGGCGTTTCCCATTCGGTTGGCGAGGCTCTTGGCGGGGCTGAGTGTGTCTCTTGGCATTTGCTACAGGTGGCGACCCAGGCTTCAATTTGTTTGTCCATGCCTGGCCACCAGGCGTAGCTCCTTGCCAGCGCTTTCATGCGCACGATGCCCGGGTGTCCATTGTGCAGCAATTGTAGAACTTTTTTTTGTAGTTTTGCTGGTATGATCACTCGGTCTCCCCACAATATGCACCCCTTTTGTGAGAAGAGCTCTGTTTGTCTGTTCTTAAAGGGTTTAAAGATTTCGTTGAGTTCGATTTGTGGCCATCCCCTCTCCACCCAGCCAAGAACTCGTGCCAAGCATGTCTTTTTTGGTGTCCAATGCGATGTCTTGCGCTGTGAGTGGAGGTGAGGGAAGAGTTTCAATCTGTAGTATTGATAGTGTGGGAGCTGGGTCATCTTGGAGTTCTGGCAATGGAGAGCGGCTCAAAGTGTCTGCGTGGGGGATGGTTTTCCCCGGCCGGTGCTTTAATTGGTAGTCGTAGGCGGCTAAGAACTCTGACCATCGTGTCATTCTGGGGGATAAAATATGTGGAGTAGGTTTATCGCCTGCCAGGATGCCAAGTAATGGTTTATGATCTGTGATGATGGAGAAGGATCTTCCATACACATACTCGTGAAACCTTTTGATTGCAGACACGATAGCGAGGGCTTCCTTGTCTAGATGACTATCATTTCTTTCTGTTTTTGACAGTGTTCTTGAAAAAAATGCAATAGGCGCCTCTGTACCGTTTGGCAAGATGTGGCTCAAGATGGCTCCTACTCCAAAAGGCGAGGCGTCACAAGTCACAGTTAGTGGAAGTGTTTCATTGTATTGGATGAGCACTGCATCCGAAGTTAAAAGGTCCTTTACACGTTGAAAGGCATGTTCTTCCCGTCGTCCCCAAATCCAGGAAGCCTTTTTGTCGAGGAGTCTATGAAGGGGTTCAGCAACAGTTGCCTTCTGGGGTAGGAAAATGTTATAAAAGTTAATGAGACCCAGGAAGGCTTGAAGGTCTGTTTTGTTCTGTGGTCTCAGGGCATTTTTGATTGCAGCCAATTTCTTTTCCGTAGGGTGAATTCCTTGTTTGTCAAGGAGGTAACCAAGGAATTCAACCCTTTCAGTGCATAACTGGCATTTTTCTTTCTTTACTTTGAGACCAGCATCTTGGAATTTTTGTAGGACTGTTCTCAGTCTTTTTTCTAGCTGACTTCTTGTGCGGGGGGGGCTATTAATACGTCGTCGAAGTAGGGCACGACCCCTTTTATGCCCTGCAACAACCTTTCCATCAGACTTTGAAAAATGCCTGGTGCTACGCTTACTCCAAACTGGAGTCTGTTACACTTGAACGCGCCTCTGTGCGTGACTATGGTTTGGGCTTCAGCGGTTTCAGCATCAACTGGCAGCTGTTGATAAGCTTGGGCCAGGTCAAGCTTTGCGAATATTCTGCCACCCCCAAGTGAGTGAAGGAGATGTTGGACCATGGGTACCGGATAGGCGCTCTGCTGTAACGCGTGGTTGAGGGTGGCCTTGTAGTCCCCACAGATTCTCAAGGATCTGTCTGGTTTTATGGGAGTTACGATTGGGGTCTCCCAACGGGCGTGATCAATGGGTTCTAACACGCCTTGTGCAATTAGTTTGTCCAGTTGCTCATCAATTTTTGGCTTGAGGGCAAAAGGAACATGGCATGGTTTTAAACGAATGGGCGCGATATCAGGGCGGAGATTAAAAGAGATAGGGGACCCCTTGTACTTGCCTAGTTTTTCGCTGAAAACTTCTTGGAAGTCCTGGACGAGGGCTGCTTCCCAATCTTCGTCTACAGTCTGATTGATGCCTGCCATTTCTATTCCTAATGGCGCGAACCACTGTAGACCCAGTAGGCTAGGTCGGTCTCTGTCCACGATGGTGAGAGGTAGTATTGCGGTGTGTTTCTTGAAGGATACCTGGAAATGACTGGAACCAGCGACGGGAATCCGGTTGCCCTGGTAGTCTTTTAATATAAGTCTCTGAGTGCTGAGGTCCTGGCGGCGGATGTTGGGAATCAGCTGCTTCAGGGTTTTCCAGGATACCATGGATAGGGAAGACCCGGAGTCCACTTCCATGATGCATGGTCGATTTTCAATGTTGACCTCTGCACGGATTTTCCTAGCGTCTAGGGATGAGGCGTGGGTGATGGTGATAGTTTGATGTGCTTCTTCTCGTCGGGGGGTGCCGGTAAACTTCCGGGTTCTGTTGTATTGGTTCCACTGGTTGTTTGGGCGGTCACGATTAGCGGCGGGGTTTCCATCTGCTTGTCGGAGGTTGTTTTCCTTCCGTTTGGGACTGGTCCCTCTTTTATTCTGGCATACCTTAGCAATATGCCCTCTTTTATCACAGAACCGACAGATGGCGTCTAGGAATCTGCATTCAAATCGTGGGTGGTTTCCACCACATCCGGCACATTGGAAGTTTGATTTACGACTCCTCTGGTCTCGTTGTTCGCGCTCTGACCGGAGTCTGTGGACTTCTTCTTCGTCACTATCTGATGAGGACTCGATGTCTTCATGGTGGGTGGCTGATGTGTATTTCTCTGTTGGCGTAGCTTTTTCGTTGGTGGGCTGGCGGTTTGCCCCATTGGCCCGGCGCATCCAAGCTGCTGATTTGCGAGTGGCTTCGGCTGCGGTGGCGTCAGCTATAGAGTCTGCGAGGGTGATGTCTCCTTTTGCCATGATTTTACTTTGGACTGTGGGGTCTCTTAGTCCCAGGACAACTCGATCCCTCATGGCTTCTTCGAGATTAGTGAAACCACACAACCTGCCTAAATTCCTTAGGTCAGCTACAAAATCCCCAACACTCTCACCTTTGCGTTGGTCCCTCTGATAAAACTCGTGCCTTCCGATGAGAGTTGGTACTGCTGGTGCGTAGTGGTTGCGAAGGATGAGAGCAAAGGTATCCCAGTCCATCGATTTAACTTCAGCCAGTTTTGCCAGCGCTTTGGCCATTTTAAAAACGGCAGGTCCGCAATACGTCAGGAAAACTGCTCGTTTTTTGCTGGGCGTGGCGTCCTTCAGATTTTGGACTCCAGGAACATCTGAAACCTGTCCATGTATGAGTCCCAGTCTTCACTGGCTGGATCGAACGGGGCGGGTGGTACAACGCTGCTGGCCATTCCGCCGATGTCTGCGCGCTGTCAGCCACGTGCTCTTGTTGATCGTAGGTAGTGCTCATTCAGCTCTGCTGTCTCCGGATCCCATCCTCGTCGCCAGTGTTGTGTCTGGAAGGATGGGTCCAAGAACAGAGACAGGCTCAGAAAGTAACTACAGCTCTTTATTAGTGACTTCAGATCTGAGCGAATTACCCTAGCCGCAGCAGCCCCTTTTATAGAGCTGGCTGCGGCTATACGGCCAATGACAGAGGTTTAAGCTTGCCGCGCTTGTTTTAGTCCAATCGCGGCAGCCCGTTTACCAGCCAATCGGATCAGTCCAGAGCGACCAATCACGAACCGCTGTTAGCAGACCAATCCGCTTTGCAGGCTTCAAGCCTGCTAGTCCGGAACAAACTGAATCTCTCAACCAGCAGAAATAAATTTACACCAGATTCAGACTGCTGCCCATTTGGCTAAGAAGAGTCTAGAGAAAGATTTCAAGGGTTTCGGAGGCTGGGAAATGGGGAGGAATTTTCTCATCAACTGCCTTGCATGAATCCTATGCCAAGTGGGATTGACCTATCCAGGGAATGCACTGGGCTTCTACAAGATAGTTCAACATTATGAAGACTCATAATCCAGGATTTTCAGGAACAAATGCCGTCAACAGCTGGTTCTAGATAAGCTTTCATACTGTATGCATCCTGTGCTTCACCTGTGGCTGTACAGCAGTATCTCTACTGCCGACTTCTGTTAGGGTTCAGACTGATCAATCCAAGGATACTTTTCCCCAACACACATTTCCCTCCCTTTCCAGATCCCTTTATTTAGAGATGAAGTAAGAACTCTTGAAATGAGAGATGTTTTACCTCAAAAAAAAAAATCTCTGTCTTTGATTGTTCCTTGTTTTGATTATTATTTATCTACTTTATTTATATCCTACCTTTATCATTTTTATAAACAAACATGTGACAAAAATACTTAATACTCCCTCCTCTTATTTCCCCCATAACAACAACCTTGTGAGGTGGGTTGGGCTGAGAAAGAGGGACTGGTTCAAAGTCACCCAGTCAATTTTCATGCCTAAGTGTCTTGATCACTAAACTTTGCTGTTTTTTTACTCCTATATATTTTATTAAGACTTACATTTTGGAATTATCCATTATTTGGAAATAACAGATGACAACTTTGGCACCACACAGACATGCAAAATCTTAAAATTAATATTTCATATATTTAGTGAAAAACATGGGGGAGTGGGAATGAGAACAGCAAATCAGATTCTTTTGTGCAAGTTATTTTTAACTCCATTCTAACTCTATTCCTCCATTCAACTCCATTTCAACTCTGTTAGCAAGATAATTTTGTACAAAAAGCATCCAAGTAACTTTAAAGCAAGAGGCCCATGGACCAAGCCTTTTTTCCATACACAGACAAGGGGCTAGTGAGAATTCTGAGCCAGGTGACCAATCACCCATTTTATTCCATGTTCTGTGCTTGCACAGTTGATTAAAAAAATAGCCCCAGTAAGCATGGGCCGGTTGAAGGCCAACTTCATTATATTGTGGAAATGTGTAGTAAAAGCTTGGGATTGAGTCAGTATTTCTCAAGGAGCACCTCCAGGCTTGAAACAGAACAAGTTGGCCATTATGTATTTCATTTTCAATAATGAAAATGTAGTGTCATGTGGCTTTATGGCCAGGAACCATAGTGGACCTGATAGGGCCCTTTATCAATATATGATTATGTTCAGTGTTACTAGCTACAGCCAATGATGTATGGCTTCTTCTGCAGCCCCATTTCAAGCTCTGCAGTGCACACATTTTGCTATTGGAGCACTACTGGGAGCATGGTGGGGAGGGAGAGAAATGCTTTGAAAGTCTACAAATTCATTCACAGGCAAATCTCCAGACTGATGAAACCCTCCTTCTTTTGTGGAAGGAAAGGCAGGAAGGGCTAATCTTGTTGATATAAAAATGCAGGTTGAACCATCTCTGTTGCCAGAAGCAGTACGTTATAATCAGCCTTTCAAAGGCCACCCCTCTTTTTATAAGAACTCAGAGCCTTTTCTCCCATTTCTGCAGATAAATTTTTAAACCAAGTCAGTGTCAAGAGATAATAGCACCCTCTCCACCTGTTCCAAATTGACTCCCTGGTCTCATCTGGGATGTCATCATGGAAGCCTGATACTTATTTTGTTCTGACTTTCAGCAGCCTTACTCAGAGAGCTGCTTAGCTTCTAAAGTTACCAGCTGTTTGCTGTTAAATAGCAATCATGTATCTGATTTTTAGAAACTAGATACTAACTGCATATAGGCCTTGAGGCAGTTTCACACTGCAGGCTCAGCTGTTTGTTTTCCATGCTGTTCTTGGCTGTTTCTTGACCCAACTTCAGAAATTCTAAACTCAATGACCATGGACTAGCAATGGGGCAGGTCTGGGCTGGTTGTTCCCCTGCTTCTTGCCCTCCTGTCCTAAAGGGGGGTCCAGTCTAGTGGTGCCTGGCTTTTCCTTCAAAGGATAGGTCCTCATCACCCATCCCTTTTTTGTGCTCTCCCAGATGTGTGCATGCAGGAATGCCGTCACACAGACATCCTTCACACATTATCTCCAGTGACACTAACACAGACCTTCCCCCCCCCCCCCCCACTTCCAATACTGTGGCTGCTTTGATGCTACACTAATCAAAGCAACAAACAGTTTGACATCAAGACCACAAACATGGAAAAAGTAATATAAGAACATTTCAGCATCCCAGAAAGACCTCAAAGTTACCATTTTTAGAAAAAAATAAGACTTTAACAGCATTATTAAGTAAAAACATGGTTTCAGGCCATCTCAGAAGGTTTAAGAAATCCACCCAAAATCAAGATAATTTTGGATGCATTACAATTGATTGATTGATAAGGGGTCTGTGGTCTATTTGTAACATGGATCTAGAGAACCAACCTACCTTTCCCTCCATTTCCCCCAGTTTAAATCCAACCTCAGCCTAGACACTCTTGCATTGGATGAAGTAAACCATGTGTCTATGTTTTCTGTATTCTGCACAGTAGTGGATTTGTAAGCTGTGCAGGTGCAGACAGATAAACTTAACAAGATGTCCACAACAAAGTACATTTATTGGTTCATCAGGTATCCTCATAACTCAAATTTGTGATGAAGTTCTTCTTTAATGATCAATCCTTTGCATATCTGCCTTGTAGATAAAAGATGGTTATCTCCTAACCCATCTCGTAGCGATAGAAAGCAGCTGCCATGAGTTAGGGAATACAGGCAAAAGTGAGGAAAACTCCCCCAACCCATCGAGGGTCAAATTAGTGACCAAGCGGGATTACAGATGTGGCCACGTGACATGAACTACATTTCCCAGGATACTTTTAACTACATTTACCATGATGCATTCCCTTAAGGGGACAACTCATAATTCCTAAGTAACTATCCAATTCCCATAGACTGGTTGGGACAGCACACTCCCCGCCTGGAATTGTAAATTCCATTATTAAATGAAGAGAAAAAAAAATTAACTATAAACTAAGATAAGCAGTAGACAGTAATACTAACTGAATAGCATATAACTATATAACTAAGATAGCTATATAACTAAGAAAAAAAAACAGTAAACATTAATCAAAGTAAAGCATGCAAAGCTTGAGGTTCAATCTTCAAATTCGGCCTCTTGGTGCAAGTCTGCTGGTCACCTCTGGTGGCCTTTTAGGGTGTACAGGTACTCTTGTGGCAAAGGTGAAAGTCTGGTGATCACTTCTGGCGGCCTGTTAGGATTGGAATGGTACTCTTGTTCCCACAGTGTCAAAGGGCATCAGGAAGCTGTTGGAAAGGGTGTTGCGTAGGCATATTCCCATGTAGAGCATCTTAGTGGACGTCTGGTGGTTGTTGGCAGCTGTTTAGGGTTTCCTAGCGAAAGTATACTGATCGCCGGCGGCCTTTTAGGCTGGAACGTCATTCTTGTTTTCGATAGTGCTGAAGGACATCGGAAGGCTGTTGGAATGGATGGTGCTAAGGCATTTGCCTGGGTTGGAGCCTGCATCCGATCTACACTGACAATTCCTACAATCCCTCATCCTAGTGGAGAATTGATGGCCAGTGGGCCATCTACAGGGCCGCCGACTGACTCAGAAAAGAGAAAGGCACATGGGGCATTATTTCCCAGCAAGAGTAGGATCTCATTCTCTGGATCCAGAGCAGGAAAGTGATGAGCCAGGTGCTGTAGGTGAGGCATGCTACTTATGACTGCAGGTGTTGCGATCTGACTGCAGTCCTTCGGCACCCCATCGCGTTCAAACACGGGTGGCAGTGGGAACCGGGAACTTTCATCCAATGATTCTATGCAGAGTCCAGTAGCTCTCCTCCCCGCCATGCTTCTTGGTCCATGGCACGTTGATACAGTGAAGGGAAGTTCGTCCTGTTGCACCTCAAAGAGGTAGAAGAATGCGGGTCTGGCCAGGGTGCAGGTGCTTTGAGTGTCTATCCACACGTACATTTTCATGGCATCTTCAGGGCATCCTTCAGGGTACACTTTGGCTAAACAGATGGAAAGACATGAATGAGACCATGGTCAGTTGGCGCACAGTGCTGTGCAGTTGACACTCATCCTCGGTTTTGGTTGAGGTTTGGCAATCTGCCGAGGAGCCCTGCATGCTTCTGTGTTACATTGAGGCTCCTTCTCCGAAGGAGGGCTACGAGATATCTGAAGTGGCGGCTCGGAGTCTGGTGCTGGTCACTATTGCATAAGTCACATTGCACCTTGGCTGTGCAGTACTTGGATGGGTGTTTGGATTCACAACACTTGTAGCAGTA